TTGTCTTGTGATGCTGTATTTTTCTGGATGTGGTCTGTGAGAAGGTTAACTTGTTGACAAAATAGACTGTTCGTTTCTGTTTTTGTAGTTGAGTAATATTGTTTTCTTGGCAATATTTAAGGCGATTAAAATGGACTGATGATCTCCAAGAAGGCAGAAGGATGGGGAGAGTGGAATGCTGAGACCCAAAAGGGTGGATTAGTTTGTGTATGGTTTCTTTCCAGAATTGTAGGGTGGGTGGACAGAGTTTCTCAGTCCTGGTCCAAGGGACCCAAAGGGGTGCACATTTTTGTTTTTGTCCTAGCACTAACACACTTGATTAAACTCATCATCACTCATGTGTGTTGGAAAACACTGCATTTACAGTGCATTCGGAAAGTATTTGTCACGGCCGTCTTCAAAAGGAGCAGACCAAAGCGCAGCGCGTTGAGTGAACATGACTTTATTAGAGTAAAGACACGAACGAAAAAAATAATAAACAAAGACGGCTAGTGAAGTCCACAGTTACAAATACTGAATACGGAAACAATAACCCACAAACCAAGGAGAAACCACACAGTTTAAATATGTCTCCCAATCAGAGATAACGAGCCAACAGCTGTCACTCGTTACCTCCGATTGGGAGTCACATGAATACAAACAAGGAAGACAACCACCTCGACACCCCAACCACACAGCACACAACAAAACGAACACACCCTATACCCAACCTAACCCACACAACACCCAACAATACAAACACACCCTGGTTCATAAACAACGTCCCGGAACCAGAGCGTGACAGTACCCCCCCCTAAAGGTGCGAACCCCGGGCGCACCAACATAAAGTCTAGGGGAGGGTCTGGGTGGGCGTCTGTCCACGGTGGCGGCTCTGGCCCCGGTCGTGATCCCCACCCCACCACAGTCACAAACTGCTTAAGTAGCCTCCTCCAAATGACCACACTCCAACTCACCCCACCTGGATTAAGGGGCAGCACCGGACTAAGAGGCAGCACCGAACTAAGGGGCAGCACCGGACTAAGGGGCAGCACCAGGATAAGGGGCAGCACCGGGATAAGGGGCAGCACCGGGATAAGGGGCAGCACCGGGATAAGGGGCAGCACCGGGCTAAGGGGCAGCACCGGACTAAATGGCGGATCCTGGCTGGCTGGCTCTGGCGGATCCTGGCTGGCTGGCGGATCCTGGCTGGACGGCTCTGGCGGATCCCGGCTGGACGGCTCTGGCGGATCCCGGCTGGACGGCTCTGGCGGATCCCGGCTGGACGGCTCTGGCGGATCCCGGCTGGACGGCTCTGGCGGATCCCGGCTGGACGGCTCTGGCGGATCCCGGCTGGTCGGCTCTGGCGGATCCCGGCTGGACGGCTCTGCGGATCCCGACTGGACGGCTCTGGCGGATCCCGGCTGGACGGCTCTGGCGGATCCCGGCTGGACGGCTCTGGCGGATCCCGGCTGGACGGCTCTGGCGGATCCCGGCTGGACGGCTCTGGCGGATCCCGGCTGGACGGCTCTGGCGGATCCTGGCTGGACGGCTCATGGCTGGCTGACGGATCTGGCTGCTCATGGCTGGCTGACGGATCTGGCTGCTCATGGCTGGCTGACGGATCTGGCTGCTCATGGCTGGCTGACGGATCTGGCTGCTCATGGCTGGCTGACGGATCTGGCTGCTCATGGCTGGCTGACGGATCTGGCTGCTCATGGCTGGCTGACGGATCTGGCTGCTCATGGCTGGCTGACGGATCTGGCTGCTCATGCTGGCTGACGGATCTGGCTGCTCATGGCTGGCTGACGGATCTGGCTGCTCATGGCTGCTGAAGGATCTGGCTGCTCATGGCTGGCTGACGGATCTGGCTGCTCATGGCTAGCTGACGGATCTGGCTGATCCTGTCTGGCAGAAGGCTCTGGCTGATCCTGTCTGGCAGAAGGCGCTGGCTGATCCTGTCTGGCGGAAGGCTCTGGCTGATCCTGTCGGGCGGAAGACTCTGGCTGATCCTGTCTGGCGGAAGGCTCTGGCTGATCCCGTCTGGCGGAAGGCTCTGGCTGATCCCGTCTGGCGGAAGGCTCTGGCTAATCCTGTCTGGCGGTAGGCTCTGGCTGATCCTGTCTGGCGGAAGGCTCTGGCTGATCCTGTCTGGCGGAAGGCTCTGGCTTATCCTGTCTGGCGGGAGGCTCTGGCTGATCATGTCTGGCGGAAGGCTCTGGCTGATCCTGTCTGGCGGAAGGCTTTAGCGGCTCCTGTCTGGCGGAAGGCTTTAGCGGCTCCGGTCTGGCGGACGGCTCTGAAGGCTCATGGCAGACGGGCGGCTTAGCAGGCTCAGTACAGACGGGCCGTTCATGCAGCGCTTGGCATACGGACAGTTCAGACGGCGTTGGGCAGACGGGCAGTTCAGGCAGTGCTTGGCAGACGGACAGTTCAGACGGCGTTGGGCAGACGGGCAGTTCATGCAGTGCTTGGCAGACGGACAGTTCAGACGGCGTTGGGCAGACGGGCAGTTCATGCAGCGCTTGGCATACGGACAGTTCAGACGGCGTTGGGCAGACGGGCAGTTCAGGCAGTGCTTGGCAAACGGACAGTTCAGACGGCGTACTCTGGCCGTCTGAGGCGCACCATAGGCCTGATGCGTGGTGCCGGAACTGGAGGTACCGGGCTGAGGACACGCATCTCAGGGCTAGTGCGGGGAGAAGCAACAGGGCATGCTGGACCCTGGGAACGCACATAAGGGCTAGTGCGGAGAGCCGGAACAGGGCATGCTGGACCCTGGGGACTCACATAAGGCCTAGTGCGTGGTGCCGGAACTGGTGGTCCCGGGCTGAGGACACGCATCTCAGGGCTAGTGCGGGAAGCAGCAACAGGGCATGCTTGGCCCTGGGGACGCACCGTAGGCCTGATGCGTGGTGCCGCAACTGGAGGTACCGGGCTGAGGACACGCATCTCAGGGCTAGTGCGGAGAGCAACAACAGGACGCACAGGACTCGGGGGACACACAGGAGGCTTGGTGCGTGGTGTCTGCACTGGTGGTAAAGGGCTGGAGACACGCACCATAGAGCCAGTGCGTGGAGGAGACACAGGGCTCTGAAGACGCTCTGGAAACCTGGTGCGTGGTGTAGGTACTGGTGGTACTGGGCTGGAGCGGGGAGGTGGCGCCGGAAATACCGGACCGTGCAGGCGTACTGGCTCCCTTGAGCACTGAGCCTGCCCAACCTTACCTGGTTGTATACTCCCCGTCGCCCGACCAGTACGGGAAGGAGGAATAACCCGCACCGGGCTATGTGGGCGAACCGGGGACACCATGCGTAAGGCAGGTGCCATGTAAGCCGGCCCGAGGAGACGCACTGGTGGCTTGATGCGTAGGGCCGGCTTCATGACCTCCGGCTCAATGCTCAATCTAGCCCGGCCGATACGTGGAGCTGGAATGTACCTTACCGGGCTATGCCTGCGTACAGGCGACACCATGCGCTCTACTGCGTAACACGGTGTCTGCCCGTACTCTCGCTCTCCACGGTCAGTCCAGGGAGTAGGCGCAGGTCTCCTACCTGACTTCGCCACTCTCCCTTGTAGCCCCTCCCCAAGAAATTTTTGGGTAGTACTCTCGGGCTTCCAGCCTTGCCTCCGTGCTGCCTCCTCATATCGCCGCCTCTCGGCTTTAGCTGCCTCCAGCTCTTCACGAGGACGGCGATATTCTCCCGGTTGTGCCCAAGGCCCCTTACCATCCAGAATCTCCTCCCATGTCCATGAATCCTTTATGGGTGAATATAAATCCTGTGTCGGTGGATCCTGTTGCCGCTTGACACGCCGCTTGGTCCTTTTAAGGTGGATTATTCTGTCACGGCCGTCTTCAAAAGGAGCAGACCAAAGCGCAGCGCGTTGAGTGAACATGACTTTATTAGAGTAAAGACACGAACGAAAAAAATAATAAACAAAGACGGCTAGTGAAGTCCACAGTTACAAATACTGAATACGGAAACAATAACCCACAAACCAAGGAGAAACCACACAGTTTAAATATGGCTCCCAATCAGAGATAACGAGCCAACAGCTGTCACTCGTTACCTCCGATTGGGAGTCACATGAATACAAACAAGGAAGACAACCACCTCGACACCCCAACCACACAGCACACAACAAAACGAACACACCCTATACCCAACCTAACCCACACAACACCCAACAATACAAACACACCCTGGTTCATAAACAACGTCCCGGAACCAGAGCGTGACAGTACCCCCCCCCTAAAGGTGCGAACCCCGGGCGCACCAACATAAAGTCTAGGGGAGGGTCTGGGTGGGCGTCTGTCCACGGTGGCGGCTCTGGCCCCGGTCGTGATCCCCACCCCACCACAGTCACAAACTGCTTAAGTAGCCTCCTCCAAATGACCACACTCCAACTCACCCCACCTGGATTAAGGGGCAGCACCGGACTAAGAGGCAGCACCGAACTAAGTGGCAGCACCGGACTAAGGGGCAGCACCGGGATAAGGGGCAGCACCGGGATAAGGGGCAGCACCGGGATAAGGGGCAGCACCGGGCTAAGGGGCAGCACCGGACTAAATGGCGGATCCTGGCTGGCTGGCTCTGGCGGATCCTGGCTGGCTGACGGATCTGGCTGCTCATGGCTGGCTGACGGATCTGGCTGCTCATGGCTGGCTGACGGATCTGGCTGCTCATGGCTGGCTGACGGATCTGGCTGCTCATGGCTGGCTGAAGGATCTGGCTGCTCATGGCTGGCTGACGGATCTGGCTGCTCATGGCTAGCTGACGGATCTGGCTGAT